AGAAAGAAAAAATGTCATTATTTAAAAAAATTTGTTAGAGAAGCCTAATAATTGATATATGTAATATAATTTTCGTAACGTCCGACTTCTTAATTTTTGGTATCCCATTGGCCCTACCTAGAAAAATATCGTGGCACCGCTAGTTCCGTTGAAAGTAATTATTCCGTTAAGCCATTGATTGATAATAATATATAAGCAATGGTAAAACGAACGTGATTGTTTTTGTCGGGAAAGAAAATGGAAATCTCATGCTCGGTTCATACACGGGTGCTCGGTAGCCCGTTCAACACACACACACACACACACACACACACACACACACACACACACACATACAAATACACACAGCTGCTGCGCATACAATTTATAATGTGTATAACGACTACGTGCAATCTTACTAAAAATCCGATGCCGGCGATTAATTTCGTTTAAGCCCCGAGGACTGTACGGGGATGTTTGTGTACGCGTACGAGACACGTATCCAGTCCGCGTAAATTATTATTATTATTATTATTGTGATCGAGTAAACATCGCGCGTATCGTTTTCGCTGGAATACTTTGAGCAGAGATAAACGGAGGGCAGCAAAACCGACGTAGGAGCTCGCGTGCGTGCGTGTGCGAGGAAAGTGTGCATGTGTGCGCGCGCCACGTCGTAAACATTGCACGGGAAAATCGATACTAGCCGGGTCCCGTTGGCTGTGCGCGCGGGAGGTTCACTACCGTATATTTACGTACGAGTACATCAACAGCGATTTTTCAGCTCGCGTAAACGTAACGTATAATATTGTGTACATACGATCGGGAAAACTGCAGCCGTACCGGAATCGTCACCGTGCGCGACCGAGAGTTGAACGCAAGAGATACACGTATTATCATTATTATTACGACGACGACGACGTCGTTGCAACTCTGCACAATGGATGGTGAAAATGGTACGCTCGCCGACATATATAAATAGTGTGCGCGGACGTCACGGCTTCTCGTGAACCGGAGGGTTTTCTGCACGCCCGTGCGTGTATCGGTCACCGGTTTTCTGATTTTTTTTTAATATTCCTTTTTTTTTCGCTTCTCTCAAGGTAAACAAGTGTAGGTAAACGAATAAAATAAAAATAAAACAACCCATACGGTTGCGCGTGTTGCTGCAAGTTCGTTTTTATACGCTCCCGTGCTGGGGATATCTATACGCATGTATACGCACACATACGTAAACACGTACGTGGATACGATAAAAATATTTCTACGTACACGTGAAAACGACGTTCGCGCGCATGAAGTACCGGTCGCAGCTGCGAGATCGAAGCGATATGGTATGATATATTTACGAGAAACGATGGCAAGAGAAAGAGTGAGTGAGTGAGACGGAGAAAACGACGGGCGAAAAAATTATATCATTATTATACGATATAGATACGATTTCGTTTTACGCGTTCGCCGATCTCCGCGAGAACAGCGCTTTCGACGCGAGGTCGCTGCCATCGTCCGGACACGTCCCCGCCGTATTGTTATTGTTTTTGTTTACGTTTTCGGTTTTTTCTATCTCGCCTCGCCCGAAAAAGATATTTTTCAAAGGTCGGAACGAGCGAACTCGATACTTTGGCGGATAGCACCTCGTTATTATGCCCTGTGTACGTGTGCGCGTGTACGTGCACGTGTGTGTGTGACCTATACAATGTGTGCAAAACCGGTTTTAGTCGTCGAAAAATAAAATAAATAATAATGCACTCTTGCGCCAGGGGTGATAGTGGCGGTGGCGGCAGCGTCATAGTTGCTGCTCGGCGGTGTGACTGACCCCATAGCCGTCGCTGTTGCCACCACTACCACCACTACTGCTATGTTCGTAAAGGAATAAGGATACACGTCGTATACATCAGGTTATTATTATTACTGTTTCTCCTTTCCCACTGTACATTTACAACCCGATGTACGCATGCGGTCGTTCTGTATGCATATAGTACACACACGCGTCATATACGATTCTATAAACGTATTTCGAGAACCATAACGGTTTCTTATTTCTTCTCTTGAGTTTTTTCATCGTAATAAATAGTATTATCTTGTGCAAGTCGTCGTCGTCGTCGTCGGTTTCTTTTTCCCGTCGTCGGCGGTTTCACTTTGGTCGGGCTGCTCATGGTGAGAGTGCGCTCAATTGTATTTTAATGTAAAACAAAAATAATAATAAAACCATAATTATTCTCTTGTCTAATTGACCAAGATTATAAAACTCCGTGTATACAGCTCAGAAACATCGTCCGTATACATAAAACGGCAGGAGGATAACAATATAGTTTATATATATAACTAAGTTTATCTATTTAATTACGTTATTTATGTCATTATCAAACAATTTTTTAGGCTTTTTAATTTTAATGAAATTTACTGCGTTCAAACCCCGAACGATGTTCAACAATTGTGAGACGTTTACACGAACAAATCGTTTGACTTTTTCTAAATAATAGTTTTCTCGTATGGATTGCAATGCAAAATACCTGAAATAGTTAAGCATATTATTATACTTGTAGTGTAATGTTCTTTGCAAATGTTTAATAATTCCAGAAACAGAGATTATACATTCTGATTACTTTGAAATATCGTGTTATTCGTGCTATTGTATAGCATACACTTTTAGAATAATGAATGCACATTGACCTTGAATTGCATACAAATAGTCAGGGTATTGGCTTCCGTTGTATTTTATACTTTTGTAAGGTTTCGTGTGTTCATTTTTTTATTTCTTTCTGATGAGCCATTCGTATCGACGAGCATACAGTTGGTTCGTCTATAAATTACATAAAATTGGTGGTTATATATTTCAAATCTTATATAAAAGTTACACGATTAGGTCGATATCGGCATCAATTAATCTTTACAGTACACTTTTATACAGTATCTGAAGTAATTATTTTCACAAAAAAAAGAACCACGATTATCAACCGCTATATTAATCGTGTGAACTAAACAGAAATCGTAAGACGACCGAAACATATATTTACACCAACGTGTTTCAGTAAGTTTATTAAAAAATCATAAAAATTTATTTTTAACTGTGCACCTATTGAAAAGCAATCATACTGGTGCCACATTTTACTTACGTGGTATTTAATCGTAATATATATACAAAGTGTACAGCACAACAGTTGATACTGCATGTGTACTTACCGCTTGTTTAAATATCTGTGATGTCTACCTATACGTTAATTTTTGATCAGTCCAAACAAAAGTGTATTTTATGTATTATTTTTACTGGAATCGAGCAACAAATACATATGCTCACTCGTACATATATTTTTACGTTTCCATTAAGAGTGCGTTCCGCCCGCAACAGATAATGGTTAAGCGTTCTGTAATTAGTGTGTTAAACCATGTAGAACTATTTATACACCGCTTTATCCAGAAATTCATCATTAATATTAACACATTACCTACTTATATTTAGTTGAAATTTAATTAAAACTATGGAATTATATTACGTAGTATACTAATAATGAATACACCGAGTATAATATTTATATTCACTGTTGACCGTTGTTTGTTAATAATAGTGAATACATATATATATTATATTTGTGCACATTATACGTGTCAGACCAATGCTATGTTTATCGGTAAGAAAACAACAATTTTACTGCTTTGAATATAAGGAATACAATTAATATTTTCCCGGAAATACTTTTATGATTCGTAGTGTTGAATATAAAAAAAAAAAAAAAATATGAGATTAAGAAAAAACACCGCGCTGAGTGATTCGTTATTCAATGTATCGGTATACAGTAATTATTTTGTTATTGACTGACCGAAATGTTGACTACTGTTTAGTAGGTACCGCTGCGAATTTTATTGTTTACATGAATCGTAACTAAATGCGATATTCTTCGCTTAGAATGAAGTGTACGAGCGAGTAGTGTCGTCGGGCTCATAAAAGAAATAGTTGTATCATCTAACTTCAACGATCGATGGGACAGAACCCCTTAATAGTTAAAATAGCGTTGGTACTTGTAATATATCATAGAGTTCTTATGCAGGAAAATATATTTCTTATAGATATAATTCATTGCATTAATCATATGTGTATATTATCTTGTGCAATAATTATACTTAATATGTATATACACACCCACCCATGGTAAATCTATGCGGTTAATTTGAACCAAATACCGGTTCTATATATATAAATATATTGTATATATTGTATATCTCTACAATAATGAATACTCGCATGCGACGGTTTCGTTTCTGCGGTGACGACTACCGTGCAGTTTAGGATTTCCAAGTCTAGTCATCAAATTCTTCAAGCTCATTACAGAAGCGCCGAAGAAAATCCAATTTATGTAGATTGTACTATGAACCACAGGGATAATCCTTATACGAATTTGTAAAGCTTATTGAAGTTTTCTGCAAAGAGGTGCCATGGTATTCCTTAGAAGAGGAAACTAACCAACTTCTTTAATAGTTTATTCATAACAATTTCGGCGACCGAAGAGTGCGAATTTCTATACGTTTAATCTTCAACTTCGTTGATCATATACCAATGAATGCGGCCGTGACCGGCACTCGATGAGAGTGAGTGGTTAAGATCTCCCTGCCGCATGGTCACCAAGTAGGATGACGATCTCCTTGTTCCGGTTTTCCCTTACCGTCGACGGCGTCGTCGCCACCGATTACCATATTTTTCCTTTCGCGTGCCACTTCCGCACGCGCAAGAACGCATTGCACGGAATCGCTTGCTGCACGTACGTTTTCACGTACAGCCGAATGACCGCGCGACGAAGCCCCCTCTTCACCCCCTACCGATAACTGATGCCGACCACGCATAGAACTGCGTACGGGAAACGCCCGGCACCCCTCCACCGACCCCGCGACAAACGCGGCCGACGCCGCTGATCTGCGGACGGTCGACCGGCACCGTTCCCCTCTCCGGGATCGCCGACGATCGACGACGGACCCCGACGACGGTAACCGACGCAGCGGCGAGGGCGTTCGGTGCGTGTTACCCCGTAGCCCGACGCCTCAGTAATACATAGTACGCCGTTCGTCACGCGTTGTTTGTTGGATTTACGCGCCTTTCGGTCGTGCCGACGACTGCTGTATTCGTACACCCGTGTTCACGTGCATGAAAACCGCCCGTTTTAGTGTATTAAATTATTGGTGGTTTCCGATCGACCTTTGCGAATTTTGTGCCGACCGCGCTTCTTAGTGTTTCCGTGCGGTTGTTCGGTGTTCTGTGTTCACGCTTTTCTGATCGACGTAAGTTCTTTCAACCTTGCTTGTTTCATTACTGTGTGCAGTATAATAAAATTAATTCAACTGCTCGCGCTCGTTGTACGCTGCGATTTGGCTTCTATCGTTTCGGGTGCACATTTTTTGTATCTTAATATCATAATTATTCGTCTGGCACTTGTTGGTCACCGTTTCGCCGAGATCCAATGTGGTTGGATATTATTACATGTCAGATTAGGTTACGACTTGCTTCTCGAAACCGTTTTGGATTTGGGTAATTTCGATTCGTAAACACGCCACTAGTGGGGCAACTGCAGCTTGTGTTAGGTGGCTTATTCATTTATGTAAATATTCACCTAAAATCACGATCCAAAACCAACATGTCGAAAAATCGTTACTCACCCGCACCCCACTATAAATCATATCAATGAACATTCTTCAAGGATATGTCTTCTCGCCCTTATCTTCCTTGCAGCAGTGGTTGTTATTCGTCGTTTGATGACGGAACTTCCGTCAAATATGACATACATCTGTGCCGCAGCATGTGGAATTAGTGTGTGCGTGTTATATATTCAAAATACTAGCGCTAACGTCGTTTATACACACTCAACCCCCACTGGCCCAACTATTTCTAACGTCAAGTTGATAAAAATTCATCGTTTAGTGTGTGTTAATTATGTATTGGTATTCTTAATAATTGTACAATTATTTAATTCGGACGTACTTGCAAAAATCGATTGGTCTTAGGTTTTTTGGTTTTGCCTATATCACCTATTATTCATATTGTTTTATATAATTTAATCATTTGAGCATAATATTACGATCAATAATAAATATTACGATATTAAACAAATTTTTTATTATCATAAAATATTAATTATGAATTTGTAGTCATGATTTGGTCTACGTTCTTAAAATATAATAATATATACTTGTATTTCAATACGTGATAGGTGGAATATATATATATAAGCTTGTGTTTAAAATTTAATATTACTACTACTCTTGAATTTTCCCAAAAATATTATATTTATTCTATTATAATAGGTTTTTCACATTTATCGTTTAGTGAACTTTCGATATTTGAAATATTATATATTCGTTCCTAGTTTTTTACAATTTTGTTTTTGTTTTTCACATGTTTATATTATGAAAGGACCTTAATGACATCTAAGTTAACATTTGTTTGCTGAATGGAAATTATAATACACAGGAATAATGTTTCTTATGAAATCGCTGATTAAGGTAAAATATATTTTACCTGTATTTATTATTAGTATTATTTATATACATTATTACGTAATCTATATTATATAGTTCTATTTTAAAATAAAATACGTTCACATTTCATTCAGATTTATTGTAAAAGCCGCTCCAATTTTAGCGTACAATATTTACCGTTCTGGTTATGTCCTTTGATATATTCCGATAACGGCAGCTGCCCCCCTTGCATTCTTTGTTCCGGCGCCTCTGCGTGTAATTCTTATCAATCGATTGAAAATTAGACAGCAGATGTAATCAAATAAATGTTTTTAGCAAAATGTGTAAGTAAATAAAATGGCTCTTATAACACAGTCTATTGATAGCAGAATTAGCTATCACTTTTAAATTTAAAATAAATTACTATTCATTTATCCAACATTAAAACAACAATACGAGACCAGTGCTTAATAATACTTCGAGTCTCTGTATCATATTTATTTTTGTTTATATTAGTTATTTTGGTTTATTACAGGATAAATATCATGCTACTATTTTTGGAAGTATAAAAGGTGTATTCAAAAATAAAATAAAATTATATATCTGTACAATACACTGTTGTGCACTTTTTCCTGAAATTTCAACCGAGATCGGTTGTGAATTATAAAGTATAAATAATAACAATACAACGTTTAATACTATTGAAATACCCATGTTAAAGGTTAAACCAACGATATAAATTAATGATCGATGGTTTGTAAATGTATACCTATGGTTTAATCTATATTTTATTATTTACTATATGTATTACCTTCTCAGTACTCTTTAATATTTTATTTAATATTACTCAGAATATTGCTGTAATAGTATAAGTTTGTCCGGACAGCGGTTATAATAGTTTTTCAAAATTTAACAAAACGCGTGCGATCCCGTTAAAAGCTTATGTGGTACGTTCGTTACCAGCGATGAGAACAAATGTTTTCCACTTAATCGAAGTTTAATATAGTGATATGAAATATAAGGTGTAAATTATATATACATATAATTTTATTTATTTTATAGAACCTAATAATCTTTAAAGTACGAGTAAAGTTATTTCTGATCTGTTGTTAAATGCTATTTATGGACGTTATAATTGATAATTACTAACGAACCATAAATTAAAGTTTTTGTTTTAAGATTTAATTCTCTGAAATTTATTTGTTTATTTAAATTAAAATTGCGTATACTTAACAATTAGTTTGTGTCTTTCCATTGTAAACGATATAGAATAATAAACTTTCGGTACTTTTATTTAAAAAAATATTATTAGAAATTAATTAAGTGAGTGTCATGTTCTATAATGAATATAATGTCCTGACAGACCACTTGATGATTAGAATGATTGGCTCACATGTAACCATTTGTTTAACCATTGCACATTACATATTATCATGTGTGTTATGTCTGTGAAATGAATTGCCGCAGACAAAAACTCGACGAGTACGAACTTAAGGTATAAACGGCTTTTAATTCATCTAAGCATACATCATAGGAAATGAAAAAGTTTTATTGTTCAGTAATGTCTTTGGGCTAATTGTTCATGATCATTCTTTCTATTAGTAATTTCATTAAATGTTAAAATAAAATCACTACTTATGAATATATTTGATTTTCGAGGAAAAATAAATATTTGGTATAATATATTTTGAAATGAGTAAAATATAAGGATTATAAGTGAGGCTCGGAAGTTTTAGCACTTGTAAATTTTTTTTTTAATATTTGCGGTTTTTATTGTTATTTTGCTAATTTAGGGTTTTATTGCTATTTTTGGGTATGTTTCCACATAATATAGGGAATAATCACATTTTGTTAAAAATAATGATTTACTTGGTTATTTTTTTAAAAATCTTTGAATAATTGAAAATAAATAGACCTCAGTGAATGTTCAATTTCAACAATTATTGGCGTTGAGCAGTCATTTTCTACTTTCATAATTGTACTATCAGATAGCCACTGATATTTTTAATTCTTAAGTATAAAAAAACATTTAATAATCCAGTGTAATTTTCGAGGTAAATATATGAAATAATTTAAATAAGAGTAGACTTTTACAAACTTATTCAAGTAATTTAACATTTTTCTGAACAGTTTATAATTCAACCAGCTCAAAAAGTCCTTGACTTCTATGAGTCTAAACATTTTATAAAATTGTAAAATTATATTAAACTTTTTTCTAATAAATTTATAATATTTTCAAGTTAAATACATTTTTTTTGTGCTATTTATAGCACAAACTTTGAAGTTTTTTTTGTCCATATTTAAAAATTAAAAATTAACATTTTTATTGCTATAACTTCTGAGCCCTGGTTATAAGTATAGCCAGTGCCGTGAAAACCGGGTGTGCAGAATGTTGAATGTTCATTGACCTGAAATGGTTGAATTCTCAAAAATGTACAACGATAAGGGGCCTCAAGATTTTGATTTGCACACGGACCTCAAGTAGTTCAGTTACGACATTGATTATAGATAAGTTATAATAATCGACATAATAATATCGGATAATCAATGATATTAACAATATAATTTATGTTCAAATTTTTTCTAGAAGAATATAATATTTTATCTAGTTATTTTAGATTTTAAATCGTAAAAATATGTTGATATTTTTTCAATAGATATATTTTTCAAAATACTCACCACTTTTGCCGTTATTATCAAAATAAATAATTTATTTTATCATAATTGGTTTAAATTATTAATAAGTGAATGTGATGAACGAAAATAATCCGAATTAAAATAAATGAACTAGAGCACTTGGCAATAACACTCTATAAATATGATTTATTTTTATTTATGAACAATGTCTCTATAGATGATTTATATGATGATTGGTTATATATTGGGTTTAGAATATAAGCTTTTGATTGAGGAATATATTTGTGTTGAAAGTATGTTTTGAGTAGAATTTGAAGTAATAGGATTTGATCAAATTTTAAATGGATAATTTTAAGATAATTTAATTAATTTTATAGATTATTCTATATATTAGATTAGATTATAAACCAAAGTTGATGCAATAAACGCAAAGGCAATTTACTGAAAGACCCATATGTATTAATTAGCTTGTCTAAGCAATAGGCATAAGTTTAGGTTTAAAATCTTTTTCTACCTATTTTGTTGAGTCAATGGTATCAAACCCTTGATCGTTGTTGGACCGTTGTTATTTTGAAAATTTAGGATGTTGCCGTTTTATATTGAGCTAAAGTTTAGCTGCCGTCATGTCATATATTATGTATGAAAGCTTAATTATAAAATTAAAGTCCAACATCAATATTTGTTGGGTAATAACCACGACACTAATACGTACTTGGGGTCGATATTTAGATATTATTTCGACCGACTTAATTTTAAGGACTTCGGCTTCAATACATTTATAAAATCATTTTTAGGTTCAATTCTAGCACTAGTTTTTCTATAAATTAAGGGACAATGCTCAGGCTAAAAGTATTAGATAAATCGGTGTACTTTGGCGCCAAAGATAATTTAAATTTTTTTCGAACTTTTACCAGTTTAATAAATTCAGAATGTATTGAATGTTCACGTATACGATATATGATATAATAATACGCATGAGTGCCTGATTAATAAAAACAATCCTTCCAATTGATGTGATTGCCATCTTTATGGTGTACAGTGGCGGCTCTTGGGTTTATTGAAGGTGGGGCACAAATATTTCCTTCTTTTTCCACTATGACAAATTTTAACTTATCATCAATTCCTGTTGATTTTTTAAATAAAATAAAATACATTTTTTTGATACCTTTGATACCAAAAACTTATACACTTATAAAATATCTTGCACAACAAAAAATTAAAAAAAAAATTATGGTTTATAAATAAATATCAAATATAATTATTATGCCGTTATAATATGTAATACAATATTATTATAAGTTATAACACAATATTATATAGTAGTTATATTTTTGTATTCCAAATCGATCCGTCTGTCTTTTTTCTTCATGAATACTTTGATGACTTCTTCATTGAAATTTGATATTTGATTCACCAATTTCTTTTCAATTAATAACATTGCTAATGTTGTTAATCTTTCTTCTGCCAATCTATTTCGAAGAAATGTTATTATCTTCTTCAATGTCGAAAACGATCTTTCTGTTTCTGCAGATATCATAGGTATTGTTGCTATAATACGTATAAGTTCAAATGTTTTTGAAAATATTTGTTCCAAGTTGTTATCAAACAAATTATAAACTCTAAACTGTAGTAAATTAACAACACCTATTACGCCATGAAAATCTGTTCATTTATATATAAGTTCCAATTCATTTTGTAGCTTACTTTTATTTAAAAAACGGTAAGCTTCAATTGTTTCTTCAACATTTGTTTGTGGAAAACTTTTTTCATACAAAGGAAATTCAGTGGACTTAAATAATAGAGACGCGTTTAAATGAGCTTTATATTCGAACCTATCTTTAACGCAGACATTAAGAATATCACAGACTTCTTTTGCAACACAAATTCTAGATAGAAGTGTATCATCATTATGTTTTCTTTTTTATCTACATTGAGTTACTTCACCTGGCATTTCATTTTGAAAATTATCGAAATTTTGTCCCTCTTTTTGAATTTTTCTTCAAATCGAGAAATGGCATTTTTCACTTCGATAGAATCAATTTTCCGTTTTTGCAACTGGCTATATAATATATCTACATGTGGCATTAAACAATGAAAAACATTTAACCAAAATATAAATTTTTCATCATTTAACATTCAACGCATTACGCACGCCAGATTAATTACAATATTTTGATTAAATGTATTTTCGATCTCTTCCATACATTCTATTAATAACTCACGTTTTTCGTACACAGTATTAACAATACGGCTTTTGAAGTTCCATCTAGTATTCGTTGATCGAGGGATTCTATGGTTAACAACTTTATCCAAAATGGCAACTCTTTGCAGAGAATTAGAAAAAAAAAATTAGTTACATCATTCAAGTTGGAAAATAAAATTCTTAACGGTTGTGCCTTGTAGCTTGACTTAAGATTAAATTTAACCCGTGGGCATAACAATGAACAAAATGTATATTTTTATATTCATCCTATATGAGTTTTTGAATGCCGGAATGTCGACCACTCATCACAGCAGCTTCGTCATAACTTTGCGAGATTAATTTGTCGTGGTTTTCTGTTACTTCTTTTAAGTTATATTTTATGCACTCTGATAGTGACTTTACATCATGTCCAGATGAATTAAAAGAGCCCCAAAATCTTTCAACTAGCGTATCATTTGATAAAATATAACAAAATATTATGGATATTAAAAATTGTGCTGATACATCTATTGTTTCGTCGGATATAACAGAAAAGAAATCTGTGTGTTTTATTTCATTTTTAATATTTTGTCGAATAGCAACATACATTCCAACATTTAATTTTGAATTATTTTAGAAAGACCTTTAAATATTGTAGATTGTTCGCGGTGTAATTTTAAGTATTATCCAATTCAGAACTAAAATTAATAAGTCCGCGAAATATTCCTGGATTTTCAGAATCTGACTTCTCATTGTGCCCTCGAAGAGCAAGTTCAAATGCACCACAAATTTAATACAATCAATAATTTTGAATAAAATATAGCGGTCGTTAGTTACAGTTTATGTTTTTGTATACTAAGCCTAAATGCATTTTAAAGTTGTTACCTTATATCTTGTTTACCCAAAAGTAAGATTTAAATGCGCATTTGTATGTGAACTTGATTTTATGTGTGTACTAATTTTATCGTTCAAATGAGCTAAATCATTTATTCCGTTTTGTGACCAATTTTTATCACCAGAAGTACGACAAAAAAGTATACAAGGAAAACAAAACAAACGGTTCGTTTTAGTACAACCAATCATGTTTTGAATAAACGTCTTTATTAATACTTCTTTTAAATGCTCTAAACCTTGTTTTCTTAATTTGTATTATATTTAAATTTGACATTGGCCTACCTCCTTTTTTTATTTCAATCTTTTTCTCAATAGGTAAACTTGATAAGTTGATACTCAGTAAATGCCCAACCGTAACATACTATACCCAAGATTAAAAATAATAAAAATATTTAATAAATTAGGTATTAATCACTATACACTATACCACCATACACTGAATAGTTAAAATACTTATTTTATAAACTTATAGAAAAACGCACCGACAAATGACAGTACAAAAGTACAAAACGTTTAATAAAATAAACAAAGAACACTGAACAGAATGATTAGAATGAACAAATAATGATTAATTATTATTATGTTTTCAAAATATAAATTTTGTTCCACGGAAGACGGTCGACAATAACAATACAAAGGCGATAAGACTGACAAAATCTTGTAAATCGTAATAAAAATGGAATTCGGGCACAATCCGATTGTGCCCGGCAATGCTGTATTAATTTGTGTCGATAAGTAGGGGAAATCTAATAATGTTAATAATGTTGATCGGGTCAAGTTGTGCCCGCCACCCAATGCGTATAATATATTATGCACGTATCTAGGAGCACCCGTGTATTTGATTAAACATTTTTTTCGATAATATACCAACTACCAAGTACCAACTTATATTATAGTGGAAGAAATACTTATTCAATTTTAATTTTAATAATTTAATATAAATTTTTTTTCTTCTCAATTTTTTAGGTGGGGCACGTACCCGTGTGCCCTTAGCATGGCCGTCTTTGACGGTGTACAAATTTTTTTTTTTACTCATGATATTTAACATGTATCACAAATCGAGTATTCATAACAATAAAAGAGTTTGAGTCATAGGTTTCGTTTAATTAAACATTTAGCAATAGTCAATAGCACTTAAAAACAAACCCGAACTATTCTAACGTTGTGCTTATGTTTTTAGGCGATAATTGTCGTTTGGAATAGATACAGTTGCAAAGCATAAGAAGAAAGAAGTGCCGGATGGTAGTGGTCGATCGCGGAAGTGTTGTGTGATCGTATGTTATCAGTGCGAAAATTTTAGTGCGTATACGGTGCGATCGTGGATATAAATCGGTTTTCGTTAATAATATAGTGGTGTGCGTAACATACACGGCGGTAACGTGTTAACGGTAGATTTGTAGTGCGCCGTGCGTGGACATGCATCAACGCGGTGGACACGCCGACGATGTTCGCGACGATCCGAGCACCATCATTGCGGGGTGGTGCGCGTAGCGGTCGAACCGCGGCGGCGAGCAGCACGCCGTACCGAACCACAACAGTCCATGCGTGATAACGTGCACACCGTACGCGGCCACAATGATGGACCAAAAATGTGACGGCGGCGGTGGTGTCGCTGCTGCTGCCGGCGGCGGTGGCGGCCTGGTGTACAACCGCCGCGGTGGTACCGAGGTGATCATCAAACCTCGTAACCCCGTGGTGGTAGTGTCCACCGGCGGCGGTGCCATTGGTTTCCACGGTGTGCCGACGGCCACCGACGCCGTCATCGTGCGCAGCTCGCAGGACGGTCACTTACCCGGGCAACAAGCGCCTCCGTCTCGTAACGGTTGTTCGACGCTGTTTAGCGACATCGCCGGCGTCAAGCGCCTCCGACCGGACGACTGGTTGGCCATCAACTCGCCACCCGCTTCGTCACCTGGTACATCGCACATATCCTACACCGTCATATCAAATGGCGGCAGCGGCGGTGGCAGTGGCGGCGGTTACAACACTTCACCAATGTCAACCAATAGCTACGACCCTTACAGCCCGATGGGCGGAAAAATGAGTGAGTACATCAAAAACATTTACTTATTATTAGATAATAGTGTCATGACGAGTACCTCCTCCTCTCTCCGTTTGTCTATAACTCGTAGTTGGTAATATTTTTAGGTTACACATGTCTTAACATTCTGTCGAATATACGGTTTGTTTTTCGTATGATGTAGTTTCGCCAACCCATTATGTCTGCAGTACTCGAATCGGAAAAATAAAAATAGGAGACATTTTAAGACTAGAACATATACCTTGCATTTATTCCCCGCCAAAAAAAAAAAAAAACCAAGTACTATTATCAGACATGACTCGTTGTGGTGGCGAAGTATAATTCCCCACATCCACATTGTTAAGCACGATCGACAAAGTTATATAATGATAAACGGTTCAAAAGTTATGGTGCCCCAAGTTACTACCTCCAGGTCAAAATTAATCCGCGTTCTTGTCCATTTAAATAAAGGAGTTATAATATTTGAATATATAGTTGAAGTTCAATTTAAGGACTGCATGTTCGGGTCCGTGTAACTCTAAAATATTATATTTCGTCGCCTCGCAACGTACTGTATTGCTGTACCCACGGATATCTACGATTCAGAATATATTTATACATATATGCATAAATCGTTATAAAGATTACTTATATGTATACACACTATATTCTAGTAATTATTATCGTGTTCACTCTTGATCGATTTTAATTATTCTATATGTGGTTTAGTATTCACGTATATTGCAGTCGACTGTAAATTGAAAACAATGACGTTTTTTATATGATGTTTGTAAGTGTAAAATTGATTTCTGTATTTTGTGTTCCCGTTAAATATGATAGTTCAGTGCGATAATTAATACATATTTAATAACATAATAAAATATATATACTATAGTATCTATTTCGTCGTGTCAATTTATATATGTATATATATATTCACACTGCATTGTGTATTAATACAATTAGTATTATGTTTGTCCATATACATTTACTTGGCCTAGTTAACTAATCGAACACTTGAAACGTCGCAGCGTGTTCTATTTCGTTTTTACGGATGTTGTCAAAAAATTAATAAAAATAAAAATTGAAAACATTGCAAATATGCCGTTCTCGATTTGATTTTTCCCGTTAAGAATAATAATTTTATCTGACTCACACAACTGGTTGAATAAAAATTAATTTGTTATATTCGTTAAAATTTGATATACTAAGTTTCTGTCTCTCCAACTACGGTGTATAGATATACATGCAGTACACACTCACACATACAATTTAATGACCTTGATGCAACTAGGAATATTCACGTCGTTGGTTGCGTAATAACTGAACATTTGTGTAGGTACTGCGCTAAGAAACAATAATTATCTTTAAAAAAAAAAAATTGTTTGGTACGATTACATTGTCTACTTGTACATACAAATATGTATATAGGCCAGTGTGCAATCTATGGGATATCAGTCGTAATTGGGTTACAGAAATGTATTCAAAGTTCGACAGTTGACCTCTGTGGACCTCTGAGTGCCAAAATGTTTTTTTTTCATACAAAATAGAACGTTACTTCACAACAAATAGTAAAAAAAAAAGTATTAGGAGCCATAATGCATGTATACGTATTTATACGTTGTCGGCTTGTCGTTGTCTACATGGTAGTGGGGATTATTAATTTTGGGATAGACCTTGAGCGTTTACACATATATACACTCTCGCGGACTGATACGAAAACAAATATGTAGGTCATTGAGCCTCGCGTGTCTATCTCTATCTCTCTCTCTTTCTCTTTCTCTTTCTCCCTCATTCTCTCCAACTCCTCCCACCAACTTCACAACTATCCCACACTCCCTCTTTGAATTTAATATCCACTAAACCACCGGTATCTAGTATTTCTTACTGTAGGTCTGTTTCTAAGAATTATAATAAAAATCATATTTAGCCCACTTGTTTTGTGTACACACTGTATATGTGTAATAACGAAAAATAAAACCCAACTAAAATAATCGATCTAACGTATACGAAAAAAAAAAAATTAAAAAATAGGTAATAATAAACCCAAAAAGGGGAGTATAATTCATCTCCAGCTGGTGCGTTTTCTTTTATTCTCTACTAGGTGTTCCATTATCATCTGATATAATATTATTAAATAATAATAATAAAGCATTTTTACCATAAAATACCTAACGGTACTATATTCTGTTTTATTCACAATCGTCAACGGTGTCCGTTCGTTGAAGAACCATATCGCCCTTGGGTAGCTTAACCTTGGGCAGCCGCGGGTTTATAGAAACATCGAGAAAGAGGAGCCTTTCTCTTTATTTATGTATAATAAAGTACATTTCAAATAGACCTTCCGCTGCAGCAAGTATATAGGTTATAACCAAATAAATTATAACGGATCATACCGTAAACGTTTTATCAATTTTTAACTACTCAAACACTGCTTGTATAACATATTATTACATATTAAACGGTAACAGGTTGTCATACTTTTTTTTTTTTTTGCAGCAACAGCAGCAATAATTTTTATTCTATTGACATTGTTATCAGAGGGTTAAATCACTTGAATGTAAAATAGGGTACATTTTAATAAATATAAAAACGAATTTTATGTCAAGCAATCTATACGAGTATATATTTTGTTGAACAAATTAGAGAGTTTTTTTTCGTAATAATTTCATAAGGTTGCAGTTTACAAAGTGATTTTTTTGACGTAATAACAGTTTTATAGTTGAGAATTTCTATTCAAATTAAACTTGTCAATGAATGATTGCAAAAATTATATTTACAAAAACTTTATTAAACTGTGAATATAAATTAAATTAGGTCGATTTTAAAAAGTTAATAATAATAAAAAATCGTTGATTTATATCCAATTAAACACTCGTATGTCGCCAGGGCATGAATAAATATCATTACTAAAATGCGGGTTTGATGGATTTTTTTTTATGTTACAACCCGTATGTATATATTAATTGGTAAAAAATATAAATTTACTGTATAGTATTACAATAACCGTTCAATTTGTGTGTGTGTGTTTCTATGTTATATTCACCTCATGTTCCTGCAGTTTTTTACCATGTGTACTACTCCACATGATGTATCGATAAATGTGTGTTATGTTGGTGTTCATTTGTTTGGACTTTTAAAGGGTTGTATGAGTCAAGGACTTTCGATTAAACGGTCAATAGGTGCAATCGTGATTGGCAAAACTGACGGGAAAATAAAACACAATGATATAGTAAAGGGAAAACGAGGATTTTCTGAATTCAAGGAAACGTGGCGAATGGACCGAGACGAAATGACGATAATCGGACCAAGGTCATACAAATTCTTCGGATCGATGATTTCAGGAAACGTGCATTGAAAGGGATAGATTGGTTTAATGAGTTTTATGTAACTATAAAACTATTTGTAGACGTATATTGTAATGTCTGTGTATGAATAATTTTTTATACGATGACGAATAATAATACATGATGATTAGGCCATGGGCGTTTTATATTTTTGTTGACGTGCGCGGTAATGCACCGTGTGCGCTTGTATAGAGAAAAATACGAATGAAAAAACACACAGAATACGGCGATGGTTAGATAACAGGCGCAATAGACGTGACTACTATTCAAGTAGTGAAACGTCGTTGGTTTTAGGATACACCGTAGCCAGTATGTGGGCCATTTGGAATTTAATATTATGTAGAAAGGGAACCGAATTTTGACCTATACCCTGGAGCCGGTTAATCAGTTAAATTTTTCGTCGACTATTCGCGTACATAAATACACATATGAGAACTTTTTTTCAGCCATTGAAATATTTTGTTGAAATTAGTCAAAGTGAAATCTGCTTTTTTGGCCATCAATGTTTATTATTATTATTTCAACTGATATCCGGTCTAGTCAGTGACAGCCCGTTGCCATCGCTTTATACTAATAGTAAAAGCGGATCAGTCAAGCAGTTGTAATGTTGTAATGTTCATATTCATGGTGACGTGTACATGGCTACCATAGACAGTTGTGTGGTTAGTTTTAGAATGTTTTTAATATTTGTTGTAAATCGGCGAATATATTTAGCCAAATTTTGGGTTAAAAAGTATTTCTACGAAGTTCTTAATCAACATATAAACCAATAATGAATTGAAAATTCGACATCTTAAAGTTAAATTAAAATTAAAATTTACTTAAAATATTTTCCACAATTTGTCCACAGTTCGTTTAATAATCGAAAATATTGTTAACCAAAATGATTGTTACCACGATTGATTTAAAAATGTTGCTTATACCAACTTTTTCACCTCCATTAAATTGTTCAACAATTCTTATACTCGAAATCTTTAAAAAAAGAAAAATGTAATAATTTATTATTAATTATTATTTATGATATATTTACAATGGTAAGTAAAGACAACGCCGATCAACGTATTATTAAAAATATATGCATTATATAAATAAAAAATTATCCAATTAATCGAATATTTACTTAAAGAATGAAAACTGTTTTTTTTAGATTGAGCAACGCTTGTTTACAATACATGTATATAATAAATGAAGCGTCTCACAAATGTAATAAATCTTTTAGCTCTACAATTTTAAACATTTATTATTAAGAAAAACCTGTTGAAATTTAATTTGAAAAAATAACTTGCGTTGTGGATAATTGTTTAAATAATATTTTCAAATCGCTAATCCTAACCATGTAAACATCGATAAAAAAACAATATGTTTTAACTTGGAACTTCTTCGGTTTGATCCATAACTATTATATACCCGGTTAATTAATAATTTTTATTAAAGATCACATGCGTTTATTTTTTAAAAGTTAAATTAAAATTATTATTATTATACCCTACATTTAAATGTTTTTCTCTTAACACATTTCATATACGTTTACGTATTTTAGACACTCCGTGATTATAGAGCGGGTCCGGTGTTTTCTAAAATTAAAATTTCTACGTCCGACTAAAAATACACATTCACAATCATATATACGTATACTGGCGGTAGGTTCCAGTGTAGTGGAAGGGAGGGGAAGAGGCA